TATTTTACAAAAAAGTATTCCTGAATCATCAGCTATTAATCATGAATACTAAAAGAAATTACCTATTATCAAAGAAAGATTGTTAATTCCGATAATAAATCTCGAACTGCTTGGAGTATTAAGTCCAATTTATGTAATAAAAAGAACAAAAATGGTAATATTTTAATCAACAAAGACGGTATTTTACATGAGAATTCTAATACTGTAGCATCTTTATTTAACGATTATTTTGTTACATTTCCTTTAAGTATTATTAATCACATACCAACAGTCAGTAATTTACCTTCCATGGGCAAATCGGCATCACAAATAAACTCCTTATCTTTATCTCCCTTCGCAACAGACGAATTGTTGCTCTTATTAACAGATAAGTTAAAAAGTAAGAATGCATCAGGAGCTGATGACATTCCTATGTTTCTTATTAAGAGAGTCACTCGATTTATTATTTCTCCCCATAAATATCTTGTAAATTTATCATTTGAAACAGGTACATTTCCAGAAATTCTAATACTAGGAAAAATTGTTCCAGTTTTCAAAAAGAATAATCCGATGTCTTTGGATAACTATTATAGACCTATATCCGTGCCTCAGGGATTTTCTAAAATATTTGAATATTGCTTTCTTGAGCGACTACTTACTTTTATCAAAAAATTCCGTATTCTCACCGACAATCAGCATGGATTTCGTGCAAATCTACGACTGCAGCTGTACACCCATTATATGAGAAAATTTTAAACTTTTTGGAAAACGGCGAGTGTCCTGTTGGGATCTTTTGCGATCTCAGCAGGGCATTCGATTGTGTTAATCATGAAATTTTAATATCGAAATTAAATAACTACGGTATTCGAGGACCCGCATTAAATTGGATCATTACTTTTGTTGAAAATAGGAAGCAATTTGTAAGCATAAATTATAATAATCAGAATGTTTGTGGTAAATATAACTCGGAATGCTCTTTGGTAACGTTGGGTGTACCACAGGGATCTGTTTTAGGCCCTGTGTTATTTTTACTATATACAAATGATATCGATACTCTCTCACCTAATACTCATTTTACCATGTACGCTGATGATACGTCTTTAGTAATATCTAATAAGTCAAATCGAACCTTAAAACTTGAATGTGATATTTTATTGAACAACTTAAGTAACTGGTTTGCCCAAAATTCATTACATTTTAATATTGATAAAACTCAAGCACTTCGATTCTGCACTACTCAAAATAGAAACTGTGAAACATTAAATTTGAATATTAATAGTAGTTCTCTACCTACTGATTCTGTGACAGTAAAATTTTTAGGTCTAAATTTGGACACAAACCTTAACTGGAAATGTTACTGTAAAAATATAATATCAAAATTGTCTTCAATAACTTATTTAATTCGAAATATTAGAACAGTCCTAAGTACCGATCAACTCCTTTGTTTATATTATGCCCAAGTTGAATCCCGATTGAGATGTGGTGTTTGTTTCTGGGGTAATTCAACTCTCTCGTCCCATGTTTTTATTGCGCAGCAGTGGCGGCTCGCCAGGTGACGCACGTGACGCACCGCTCCACTTAAAATTTCCGTTTGACTGTGTAATTTAAAATTATTTTTATTTTTATATAAATTTTATAATTTAGATATAATTCTATATTGAAAATGTATTGTGTTTATTTGTTTTATATGGAGAAATAAATATAATAGTTGCGCGGTGACGCCTTCTAAAAAAACATTGCCTTCGTTGAGCGCGAACATCAATCTCGTACCATACAACGTATAATATAAGCAAGTGATGCGGATCGAAATCAGTCTGTATTCCGCTTCTCTTCGTAACGTGTTTACGGCGGTTGTCATGGCAACGAGGCGGCCAACACGTGAGTAATCTACGGCGTGGGGGAACGAGTGACGCGGAAATTGAAGCAGCATTGTCATTGCCCATCGCCTGCCCTAAACAGTTTATATGATACATGGCCCAGTGTACGATTATTTCGGTTCTTTATTAATATTTTTGTATCAATAATTGTAGAAATGTTTCCTATGTATGATCCAGTGTGTATTTTATTGGAAACGCCATTTTCCAGATGGTAAATTGAAGACAAAATAAATTTTTTAAAGTACATGAGACCTGTGCCTTCTCTCGATGTGGAAAAAAAGGGAAAGTTAAAAGACAAAGTGTACGTTCGGAAGTTTCGGAGTGAATTGTATTCGGAGTATAAGTGGTTGTGTGGAAGTGTTTATTTAAAAAAATTTTTCTCTATGCCGTGTTTAATTGTCGGTGTAAAGTTGGGTGGGTGGAATAAGGAGGGATTTGAGAATTTTGGGAACGTCACGCGAGGCTGTCGTAACCACGAAGCTTTAGAACATACAGGGTCGGAAAGTTCCCATGGTTCATCGACCGTTACGTGAGAGCGATAATAGATAGTAATAGAAATCCGTGCGATAGAGAAAGATAGCTATAATGAAGGCGTCTAATAGTCACCGCCCATTTCGCCCTTCCACAAATAAGATGTGGATGTTATTTGTGGAAGGGCGAAATGGGCGGTGACTATTAGACGCCTTCATTATAGCCATCTTTCTCTATCGCACGGAATTCTAGGATTTTCTTTATTGCTCTCACGTAACGGCCGATGAATCATGGGGACTTTCCGACCCTGTATACGGTGTGCGGTAAGGTTCGCAAGTACACATGCCGAACTAATATTTCTATTATTTATAAAATCTAAATGAAAATCCTTTTTGCAAGCGCCAGTTTTTCGGTAATATTGCAAATGCAACTAAAAATTTCAAGTTTCATTTAAAAACGTTTGACCTTGAAAATTTGAAAATTTTCGCCTGCGACGCTTTTTTTTTTTCTTTTTAGTGAATCAATGAATATGTTTCACCTATTCTCAATGTCACGAGCCGCAACTGTTGCGCAGAAACGTGTTTTAAGATGTATGTTTGGTGTTTCAAGTACTCATTCATGTAGAAATATATTTAAACATTATAGAATTCTCACGTTGCCAGGCATTTATATTTTTGAAATATGTGTATACATATTTAAACACAAAAGCAAATTTGTGATAAATAACGAGTATCACAATGTCAATACCAGACAGAATTTTCATGTGCCATTTGCACAATTAAATTTAAGTACTCGTTCTCCAAACTTTGTAGGGCCTAAAATATTTAATTGTTTGCCTATGGAACTGAAAAATGTAAATAATGAGTTTTTATTCAAAACAAAATTGAAACAATAATAATAAGTGTTTATATTTCGCAATAGAGTTCTGTCCTTCAATATAATTTATGTTTGTGTTTGTGTGACTATTCCTATACATGTTGTTCATGTCTAAAAGGAAGAAATAAATTATTATTATTCTATGTTATAAAATAATGTACTTTTTTCTGATTTGGTACTTTTTGATGAATGTAGGTTTCAACTGTATTTAATTGTGTTTTGTGTCCATTCTTGTCCTTTTTATTGCTCTATTTATTGTATTTGTTTATTTTTAACCTGCTCATCATCATCATCATCATCGTCATCGTCATCGTCATCGTCATCGTCATCGTCGTCGTCATCGTCATCGTCATCGTCANTTGTTGTTGTTGTTGTTGTTGTTGTTGTTGTTGTTGTTGTTGTTGTTGTTGTTGTTGTTGTTGTTGTTGTTGTTGTTGTTGTTGTTGTTGTTGTTGTTGTTGTTGTTGTTGTTGTTGTTGTTGTTGTTGTTGTTGTTGTTGTTGTTGTTGTTGTTGTTGTTGTTGTTGTTGTTGTTGTTGTTGTTGTTGTTGTTGTTGTTGTTGTTGTTGTTGTTGTTGTTGTTGTTGTTGTTGTTGTTGTTGTTGTTGTTGTTGTTGTTGTTGTTGTTGTTGTTGTTGTTGTTGTTGTTGTTGTTGTTGTTGTTGTTGTTGTTGTTGTTGTTGTTGTTGTTGTTGTTGTTGTTGTTGTTGTTGTTGTTGTTGTTGTTGTTGTTGTTGTTGTTGTTGTTGTTGTTGTTGTTGTTGTTGTTGTTGTTGTTGTTGTTGTTGTTGTTGTTGTTGTTGTTGTTGTTGTTGTTGTTGTTGTTGTTGTTGTTGTTGTTGTTGTTGTTGTTGTTGTTGTTGTTGTTGTTGTTGTTGTTGTTGTTGTTGTTGTTGTTGTTGTTGTTGTTGTTGTTGTTGTTGTTGTTGTTGTTGTTGTTGTTGTTGTTGTTGTTGTTGTTGTTGTTGTTGTTGTTGTTGTTGTTGTTGTTGTTGTTGTTGTTGTTGTTGTTGTTGTTGTTGTTGTTGTTGTTGTTGTTGTTGTTGTTGTTGTTGTTGTTGTTGTTGTTGTTGTTGTTGTTGTTGTTGTTGTTGTTGTTGTTGTTGTTGTTGTTGTTGTTGTTGTTGTTGTTGTTGTTGTTGTTGTTGTTGTTGTTGTTGTTGTTGTTGTTGTTGTTGTTGTTGTTGTTGTTGTTGTTGTTGTTGTTGTTGTTGTTGTTGTTGTTGTTGTTGTTGTTGTTGTTGTTGTTGTTGTTGTTGTTGTTGTTGTTGTTGTTGTTGTTGTTCTTGTTGTTGTTGTTCTTGTTGTTTATTTTGTTGTTGTTGTTGTTCTTGTTGTTGTTGTTGTTCTTGTTGTTGTTCTTGTTGTTGTTGTTCTTGTTGATTATTATTATTATTATTATTATTATTATTATTATTTTTATTATTATAAATAGGCAAATTGGCGCACATTAGACGGCTTTAACCATTCGATATGACCTATAGAGGTCAAAAACTGTGTAATTTATGGAATTCAGCAGCGTTTTACCCACTGAATGGAAACTAAAAAAACCGTTTTAAGTAAATTTTCTACTAGAAATTATAATATATTTCTAATCTGTTAATGACAGAAGGTAGAGTATTTTGAATAGATCGGGGACATTTCTGTGTTAATATTTCCTTGATTCCTTACACTGTTACTAACAAATATAGTCGCCTGCATCTACTGCTATATTCACTCGAACAATTGAACTGAAACTGAAAAATGTTTCACATTTGATAAAAAATATTTTTCAATAAAATAAATCTTTTGTTTCAGAGACCATAATGAGAGGGGACCTCTATACGAAAAATTCACCCGAACTAAACAGTGCATTACCATATTTTCCCGTACCGGATCCTTCATATAATACCAGTACTAGACTTGCCGCACTTCAACACCAACTACATATAACCACTACTTCACCAATGGAACTGTCTACCTCACACTCCTGGTCTAATTTAATCATTCCTTACCATCCCAGTAATACCAAAAATTCACGTTTGTCATTGAATCATGAAAACACAGCTAATAATAGAGAAGATATAACAAAAACGGAGACTATAAAACAAGATGGTAAAAAGAAAAATCCATATTCCATTGAGGAGCTGCTAAAGAAGCCTATTAAACAAAATAAACCTCTTAATTTTAGTTGCTCTGGGTTTCAACAACCATATGGTGCATTTTTAACTAATGAGGATTTTGTAAAGGAAATGCACCACATAAGAAATGATAGTGAATTGGAGAAAAATATAAAAGTTGATGATGAATTAAACCAATAGACTTCAGAGTTACGCAGTCGATATAAAATTCACAAAATTGTTAGAAGTTTTTAGTTTTTTTTTATATGGTTATAAATTTCTTTTTCTCGTCAACTATTCCTTTGAAAATATTATATATGTATAACTCAGTTGTGATTTTAGCATAAGAATATAACTCTAGACATTACTTTAGTCTCGATGATTTATTTACAATATTTGTTCGGTAGGTAACCTATTTTAAATTCTTGTTTTTTCTAACTCAATATTTATAACCATAAGAGTAAATAAATAAGAGGAACTTATTGGATAGGGGGGACGGAGCATGCATTCACTGAGGCCATCTCATAGTGGTGCAACAAAACATTGTCCTTTATAGAAATTGTTAAACAGAAATCTACAACCACAGATCGAATCTGTATTTCCGATCTTTCAATCAACAGAAATAAAATGCGTTGATTGAAATATTTCAATCAACGTAGAATGTTTGAGGTTTGAGGTTATAGTTTATCTTCAGAACTTCAAGTAGGTTGCCGCGTTTTATGCATTAATAAATTTGTTTTATTTTAGATTAATATAATAAGGGATTTATTGAATCAATCGTCTTGAACTGCCTTACTGTTTTTTATTAGTTTTTTTTTTCCAAAATGAGTTTACCTGGTAGAACTAAATGTCAATGTTGCCCTCCAAATTGGCAAAAGCATTTCTTACTATATGAATATCTGTAATACGTTCTATAGAAATAAAAGTTTTTTTAGAATTACAAAAGACAGACAATTACTATGGATAGAATCAGTTCGAAAATTATGTACATCAGAATTTACTCATCGACAAACACATCATTATTTTTGTGAAGACTATTTTGAGTAAAAAATATTTAAAAAAAACAGTAATAGAAAGTGCTGTGCCTAGGGTTGCCAGATCTCCGGGTTTGACCCGGGGTCTTCGGATTTTGATGGTACATCTTCGGGCTCCGGGTTGTCATTTCTCCGGGTTTCCTGGAAAAATCGTGATTTCCTCTCCATATTTCCTGATTCCGTCGTTTTTTTTTAGAGTAGATATTTCCTGAGTACGTCCTTTCTGTCATGAAATAGATCTGGTAACCCTAGCTGTGCCAACATTATTTTTAGGATCAACTACAAGTTCACCTAAGTATTAATTGTAATAACATCACATCGGAATCCTCGGATAGTATCCAACATTCAGCCAAATAATTTGTTAAAGTAACATTACAGAATTTTCGGAGTACGAGCTGCCAAACTTCAATTTAGGATGATTTTTCACCTCCACCTTTTAAAAAAACGAAATGCATATGTTTAAAATTGTTATTTGCCATAAGTGCTATAAGTGTAGTATATTACATCGTACTGATGAAAACCAATTAATTCGAAACAAATGTATCTAACCATAACTTTTGTCGTCACTGTGCAATGCATTTTACATAAAGGCAGGTAAATAATTCTTTCAAATTCTTTAAAATTTGCAGTTTTTAATGGTTTCTTTAAAAAATAATTGTTACAAGAGTGTCCCTATACATTTTTTTTATACTTAAATATTTTCGAATTCATAACAAAATGAATTTGTATATTTGTCACACATTTAAGTATCACTGCTTTAACTTTTTCATTTAACCATGTGATAAGTGTTTCATAAGTAATGGGTCATGGAACAGCTGTTAATGGTTCACGATAATTTCAATTATTAACTTAAATTATTAATAGCTGTTTTGTGATCTATTACTTATGAAACATTTTTTATTCTTTGTGTATTTTGTTACGTTTAAATTTACCGCCATTATGGTGCAGCGACATCTATTAGAAAGTAGAATTAATGGTTACTCTAATTGTGTTTTCCAATGCAGTTTCCTTAATTATTTTATGGTCTGTGTTTCCGAGTGTGTCGTTTGCTGCACCAGCTACAGATGGCGGTTACTCTGCCTCTGCTGCCGACAGAATACACCGAATAAAACCCTCTTATTTAGTTACTCATATGTTTATAACTAATTTTTACGAAGCCGTAGAAGGGCCATGATTATTTTTTTTTAATTCAGACTTTAAACTGAATTCAGACTTTAAACTCCTCTGAATTCAGAATTTAAACTCTGAATTCAGACTTTGAACTTTGAAACTATGAATTTATACCTCAACAAGGTTATATACGATTATTTTATATTTAAGTGGCCAGAGGCCAGAGAACTCTTCTTATTTCGCTCCCAAAAATCCGGGAAAGGATTTGAAACGTTTGGAGATATACGGGCTGATCCAAATTAAGTGTCCATTTAAAAAAAAATGTCAATTTTGATCAGTACCTATCTGGAGAATACGATTTTCAATTGTTTTTTTGTTCACAGGGTTTTAATAGTTTTAAAATCACTGCAACTTTGGTAGTGTAACCAATTTTTCATCTCCAGTAATAACAGCAACTTTGGTAATATAACCAATTTCGTATCTTCAGTTATAACATAGTTAGCAATGGTGGACACTTCATTTGGGTCAACCTGTATAGAGAAGTATTGATAATTCAGCTCTGATTTAAAACATTGAGTAGAAAAAGTATATAAGTACACTTATATTATAATTGTATCATCCATATACAGACTGTCACAGTCAGGCCCCCCATAACCGGGCGTCACTTCAAAGGGGCGCCAAACCGAAAGTTTGTCAAAAAAAAATTTTTTTTAAATAATAATGCGCAGGGTGAATAAAAATAAGTAAATGCCTTTACTTGTCAAGTTTCAAGCAAATACTTAGTGGCCACATTTAGTTTGTTAAGGATTAACAAGTATTAACTTTCGGATTGAAGGGTAAAAGCGTTCACTTGTTTTTATTCACACGGCCCAATGTAAGAAATATGAAATATTTATTTTGGTGCTACGACATATTAAATTTTCATACAGTTTTAACTTAAGGTTTTATTAAACACTTAGAGATGAAATTAATAATTTTATCAATATTTATATGTAAGTTAAACTACTTCTTTAAATAAAATCTGGTGCACTAAAAACGGGAAAATAATTATTAGGACACATTATGAGACTTTCTAAAGATTCTAACCTCTTTAAAAATTAACAATTAATTTAAAATGTGGGATGTAGGTTAAAATATTTTTTTAGCGAACTTGCCCCCCACGTTTTTATTTTTAATTGTTAAATGTTCCAGAGGTCAGGATATCTCAGAAATATTTTTACCTATACTTTCTATTTTTTGGTTCTTAGTTTTTCACTTGACTAGAACTACCTCTACTCTACGACTGAAACATTAAATGATAAAAATACCTTTAAAACGAGGTATCACTTGATCTCCTTTTAATTTAAAATTTTTAAGGGCAGCTCTCACCCTCGCTCAGGGGTTGATACTGTGGGGTTAAACATAAAATATGATAATATAATATTTTCTTGGAAACCTAAAATATGTGCGGAAAGCTTTGTAAGAATCGGTTGAGTAGAAGTAGTTCAAAAAGCTATTGCAAGATTAAAAACAAACAATAAACAACTATACTGGTCGAGCGATATTAAATAAAATTGTTTATTAACAATTAAACCCTTATTTTAAATTTTTGTTAATATTTAACATTTTTTGTAAATAAAGAATTGCATTTTTTTAAACCAAATCCGAATATTATGCAGTATTCGTAAATCGCCAAGCTTTTCTATAAACGTGAAAACTTGTCGAGCTGTAAAAATTGGTCCAGACTTGCATATTTTGGTGGATTTTTCCAGTCCGAACCGGCAGTTCGGACTCGAAAGATTCACGGGGTATAAATTAAAACAACGAAACTCGTTAGCTAATCAGTTCTTGATATTCACACAAAACATCTGTTGTTTTATTATAATATAAAAAAATATATTTTTTTTTATAACTGGATTTCGTACATTAATAAAGGTCGCCAAAAAAATGTCTCGCACGCGGGCACCGCTCAGCCTTGCGGGGGCCCTGGTCACAGTGTAAGCGTACAAAAATTAACTGGGGAGTAGGTTAGATCAAGATACCTATGACTAAAATTCTTATAAAAAAAGTTCTCCAACAGACACGCACCCTGAGTTAGTGTTAAATAAAAAACTATATATTTTTCGGTTATAATTTAAAAGACTGAAAGGATCAAAGTCTGAATTCAGAGTTTAAAATCTGAATTTAAAAAAAATTGTAGATATGGCCCTTCTACGGGTTCGTAAATTTCCAACGAATTGATAGAATTACATATATATAATTTTGAAAATAAATTTGTTGAGATTTCGGCTGCTTTGTCAATAAACATCGGTAACATTATTTACATACAGGGTGTTTCAAAAAGGTGTTGCCAAACTTGAGGGGGATATAGAGGACATTGTGGTTGGCGACCCCTAGTCGGAAATGAGCCGTTTTGGCCCTGGAGCAATTTTTGTCCAAAAACGTAATGTTATCTCGTTGACACCAAATGACTGATATTTAAGTAATTTTTATTAAAGATGACGCAAAAAATTATTTGAAACAAAATAAACACGTTTATCTCTTCTGATAAGTCTTTACCAACTGCATGTCCTACACACGATGTTGGTAAACAATTTATCCACAACTGTGTGATAAAAGCTCTATATATTGCACGCATCTAATCATGCGATGTCATCTGTGTCACGCTGGCGCTGTGAGGAATAATGAAACAAATGAACAGAGTTGTCACGTAACTAATTATCGGCCCTAATTGAGTGTTACATATTTGTTTTGTATGCGACGAAATTTTGCTTCTAATTGAAATGGACCAATTTACGTTTGAAGAGTATACAGACATGCGTCTTATTTACAGCGAAACAAGATGCGACACTAGAGAAGCTGGGCGCTTTCCGAATCGCCGACATCCTTGGTCATTGAGGAAGAGACTTTGCATCGAACTAAAGAACAACCTGCCACAAGCCGTTTTGTCAAGCCAATTATTATAAATTCATTATTTTTGTGTTATCCTTAGTAAAAATTAGTTAAATATCGAAGTCTTTTGGGGTTAACGTAACAACATTACGTTTTTGGACGAAAATTAAGTACTCCAGGATCCAA